AACTCCCTATGGATGTAACCCAGAGGCACTTGTCTTTTATTTCAGGGTACTCTTCCTGTTGAGGCTACTTGTATTTTTGTGTCTGCCATTGTTTAAAACTTAATCACTCTTCCTCTTTAAGAAAGTTTTCCTAGTGCAAAAATAATCAGTCATTACATGCCTTTAGATCAGTTTGTTTCCTGTGTTGTGTTTCACGTATTCCTTTGTTCCATCCCTTCTCTTCCCCCACACCCGCCTCCTTCAGCTTTCCCCATTACATGAATCACTTTCATGTAAATTATTACTACTGTTTTTCACTAAGCCTAACCCTGAGAGAATATTACCCCTATTAGAAATGTACACATTTTACACCGCTATTTGGGAAGAATGGATTAAATGTGGTGATAAATATGAGAAAATAGATATGTTTTTACCACAACCTGCCTGCAGAATCCTCTTTCCATTGCAGATGTATGACAAAACAAGTTGGAATCAATGGCTTTTTTTCCCACTCTAGTTATGCATTTCAAATGATAAGTGGTATTATTATTATTGTAATTTTTGTTGTTATTGTTATTAATATTATTAGGACAAACAACTTTTAATATTTTTCAATGTAATCTGAGCAACAAAGCAAAAGTGTTTTGTTTCTATCACAAAAGAACTCCCTTTTTTGTTGCACTGTTTTATTGTTTAGCATTATAAATCTACAATATACAGCTTTTAAGGTCAAGCAGAAAGGAAGATTTTCTTTTCCAAACATCTGTCAGCAACCACATGGAAGAGAAAACAGTACTAGCATAATTTATCATGCTTTCACTTGGTGAAAAATGTTCCTTGGATGCTAAGTCATGACATGTACTTTAAGTAACGCTTTTCTCGAGTGCTTTATCTTACACTTTGCTTCTCTTACACTAATATTTTTCAGTTTCCTTATTGTTTGAGGCTATGAAGGATCATAAGCATTATTTATTCTTCTGGCATCCAGGCCTCATTGTGATAAGAATGAGCAGTTGCTACCCCAATGCAGATGGCAAGAGAACCGTTTCCAGGTTTTGGTGTACCTGGATGTCATTGCTTACTTTGCTGGAACACAACTAACCAGCTATGAAGCAGGAGGTTTGGCAGGCAGAGCGTGGGGTTGACATGTGTCCTTTTCCAGCAGGGGCTGCTGTAGAGCGGTAATAATCACGCATCCCCAAGGGATTGGAAAATTGTTTTCAATTCCCTCCTCCTGTCCCCCCCATTTGCATTTAAAGTAAACATATGATGAAGCTGTTGGTTCTTTTGAGTTAGAAAAAGAAACAAGTCACTGAAGAATATTAAATCTGGGCTGATCCAGTATAAATGCTCTTGGATCCTTCAGTAAAATATGCCTAAGCTATATTGGAATTATCTCCTTGAGCAGGAAAGACATCCAAATATAAGGTATAAAATCATAAAATACTCTTCATTGCACAACAACCTATCTGAAAGGAAGCAAAAGTGCTGCAAAGAAAGAAGGCTTTAAGCTTTGTATGAAGACTCTGACACTAACCATAACCTGCATAGTGTACAGGGTTCAAAGCCCTAACCATGACACTTGGCCAACACAGAGAGGAACCCAGAGATCCAGTGGAAATCAAAAGTGTTATGAAGCTGAATAACATGAAGGTCTGTGAAAGCACAACATCTATAAGGAGAGACCTCTTTTCAGGTCAGTTTATGGAGCAAAAAATCATGTAGGTCCACTTCCAGGCACAAAGTCCATTTACAGGGTTAGACATCTGCTTTTCCTAACTTTACTGGAAGATCTATGTGACTTCTCCCAACTAACATTGATTAAGAACCCTTTCTTCTCTGATAAGGATTTCATGGTTAGGTTACAATATCTGCAATACCCTCTGTAAATTGCACTTGTAAAAGTAAACAACTCCAAAGGGGAATTTACCTTATCCTAAAGGAGGTATTTAGGGCAGGTGGGAGGAATTACTTCTGGAGGCCTTTTTTCACCTTTAACTTTAAAGAAGGAAGGCTAAAGACTTAAATGTTTACATTCTGTATGTTACAATGACACGAATCCCTACCCTCCTGTCTCTTACATGCTGAAAACACCACATCTGCAACATTGTTGTTTATAATGTTATTGTAAATAAGGCATATGAAAGGATTTTATGGGATGTACAAAAGCCGCTTCTGCTGTCCGCTTACACAGCAGGTTTCACATATAGTAGTTTGGTTACATTGCCAATATTTTGTTTATTGGAAAAAAAATATTATATTGCTTCATATTACTACTTGTCTTCTGAAAGAAAATAGTGGATTGTGGTGCCAAAGGGACCTGCCTACTGATATAGAAAGTTGTGAGATATCACCACCACACAAATGGTAGTACAAACGGTACAAGCACAAACTCAAATTAATAAATAAAAAATGGCTTGTGAGGTAAGGAAGGCTTGTATTTTTCTGCTGAGACATGTTGGTATACTATCTCTGTAAGAAATAGGACTTTCCTTGAACTGATCATAACAAATACATTTATCCTTGAATAAAAAAAAAAAAGTGGCAAGAAAACTACATTTTCAGAGCTGAATGAGAACTCTGTACAGACAAACTCATAATAGAAATATATAGTATGCACAGCAGTTGAGGCACAAGGCATTGTCTTAGATATAATGACAAATATATGACAAATAATAATGACAAATTTTTGTATTTGTCTTTACATAATTACTTTCCAGTGCATTATTACTTGGGCTTAGGACATCCAGACTTAACTGTCAGCTAATTTTACTAACTCTAATTCTTTCATCAACTTGTTAAAAAATTATTGGCAGTCATCTTTAATGGGTGTAATAGATCTTCTTCCAGTTCAGTCTGGGCCAAATACAGTGTTCATACTACTACTGATATTTCCCAGCTATATTTCTTACATTGTTCTCACCAGTTATTTTTTGATGAATCATGATTTTACGTATCGAAAGAGAGGCTCTTTCTTCAATTATTGCATCAGGCGGGTTTTTTTATGTTTCGGGATGAAAAAGTTCCATGTGTACTACATCGTTGTCTTTGGCAACATAATGTACTTGGTTCTAATACTTAACTGCCTTCAGTCCTCCTAGAGACTGTCGGCTTTACTCCCTTTTTCCAATCATGGGGCTTCTGGCTATAGCTTGTAAAGCAAGATCTGATTGTGTAGAGTAACTGCATATTTAATGCGAAAAAGAAATTTCAGAATTTTTTTTAATAATGTGTCTTCAATCTAAAGTGATTCAAGAAAAACCTTGTGTGAACGTATGTAATTTTAAATTACTTGTACTTTTAAAATTTAGATGTTGTGGGTGGATGAAATTTATGCCATGGGAGAGAATTTCTGGAATGGTCTGTACTTCAGTGTCTGTGGATTTCACTTGAACTGTGGAAGAGTCAGCTACAGCCTAAGTCGGTTGCCAAACAATCCTGTAAAGATTGTTTGTGTGAATAATGAAGTGATCAGGGAACAAGACTGGTCTCGATTTCATTCGTTCTTGATTTTAGGCACTTAACCAATATATCTATGCTGCCAATTTCTGATTTAGTTGTCCCTTTTTTTCATAATTTTTCTGTTGTGATGTAAAAACCCCCAACAGAATATTCAGTTCTCCTGAAGTCCAAATTTCTTTCTGGAAATCATCTACTCATTTTTGAGTAGATAGATAGGTAGGATGGATTTGTGCTTACGTAGATAAAAGCTGAATGTGTTTGCAGATATACAACCTGACATCAGAAGACTTAATATTACAGAATCACAGTATCAATTAGGTTGGAAAAGACCTCTGAGATCACTGAGTCCAATCTAGGACCAAACACCACCTTGTCAACTGGACCACGGCACTAAGTGTCACGTCCAGTCTTTCCTTAAACACCTCCAGGGACAGTGAATCCACCACCTCCCTGGGCAGCCTATCCCACTATCTAATCACCTTTTCTATGAAGAAATTATTTATAATATCCAAGATAAACCACTCCTGGTGCAGCTTAAGATTATACCCTCTTGTCCTGTTGCAAGTTGCCTGGGAGAAGAGACCGACATCCTCCTGCCTACGACCTCCTTTCAGGTAGTTGTAGAGAGTGATAAGGTCTGAGCCCTCCACTTCTCCAGGCTAAATAAGCCTGGCTCCCTCGGCCAGTCCCTATAGGACTTACCCTCTAGACCCTTTACCAGCTTTGTTGCCCTTCTCTGGACATGCTCCAGCACCTCAGTGTCCTTCCTCAATTGAAGTGCCCAAAACTGAACACAGTACTGAAGGTGCAGGCTCACCAGTGCTGAATACAGTGGAACACTTCCATAGTACTGCTTGCCATACTATTTGTGATACAGTCTAGAATGTTATTGGCCTTCTTGGCCATCTGGGCACACTGCTGGCTCATGTTCAGCCAGCTGTTGATCAGCACCCCCAGGTCCATTTCTTCTTTCCAGCCATTCTGTATATTCTGTGACCTTTTTTTTTCAAGTCCCAGTTCCTTTCTAAAGCACAGTAAAAAGTAAGTAGTTGAACATCAGCATTTTTCATAATATATTTTAGACTTCGTAATTGTTTATGTTGAGTTCTGTACTGTTATTTAGTTTCCTAGCCATCTACACTAGATTGGACACAATGAAAAGCACAAGTTGTATTACTTTTTTTTAATTATGGTATGTAAGAAGAGCTTTTTAAAGAGGGTTCATCTTTTATTTATTTCACCCAAAAAATAGCCAGATTTCTGAAGTATTCAGCAGTGAATATGCTGAGCTTTAGCGAAAAAACACGTACATCATGCAGCTCTGGACAAGAAGTTACAATCAGAGTCACCCACTCACTTCAAAATATGGCTTGTAATATCTTACAGTAGATTGAACAAAGTCTAAACGGGTCAGAATAAGTCAGAATAAGTCTGAACGAAGTCTGAACTGGTTAGATTAATGTTTGTTTTGATATGTTAGTTTTGCCACTGAATTCACCGGGTTGAGGACTGTACTTTGATAGGTACTGTTTTGTTATTCTTGAAAGAAACACTTTTACCTTTAATGCTTGATGACACAGAAATATTCAGCCGATTGAATATAGAGATCTTTCTTTCAGTACACTGCTTACAGATCTTTAGTAGAGGTGGTGGGTAAATGTCCCACAGTCTTTCATGCATTAGGAACACATGCTCTTAACTTGTTCTGATGTCATCTTCCTTAGAGGAGGTTCCTGAAAAAACATTGATGCAAAAGATATATTAAAAAAATCAATGACAAAATGTCACTGAGAATTGAACTCATGTAAAGATCCTTAGAGTGGCAGAATATAAAGTGAAAGAGATCCTGTCACTGTGCTTTTATCTCTTTGATCCCATGTTCCAGACTAGTATAGGCCTGCAGCAGTGCTTAAACTATAACACTGTTACAAGAGAGTTATTGACTTCAGCACTATAGAGAACCTAATACCATTTATTGAAGTTAGGTTTTGCTGATTTTGAACATTGACAAGATTTCTGCAAAGGTAGATCTAGGAAAGGTTTAATTTGTATTTCTCAGGAACTTCCCCTAATTCTCAAAATGGCAACAACAACAAAAATCCAAACAAACACCTCCACCTCAAATTAAAATAAGAGCCTCACCCACAATTGCGTGAAGAGTATAAATAGGAGTTCATAACAGACATGACAGAAAAAGGAAAACATATTCACATTGTCTAATTCATTTTTATAACATGACTGGAAATAGCACAGAAGAATAATGCTAATTCACCTTCTGATGTATGGAGATATTATTAATATCACACTACCTGAAAAGGTGTATCTTTAAAGAAAATATTATTTTTAAAAAATTTATAGATTTCATTTTTTGCAAAACTCATTAAAAAGAAAAGAGATTGATTACTAAATGTACAGACTGGTCATTCCAAAGAGCTACTTTGGTCTCTGTTCCATGGTTATAAATAATGTCTACAGTCTGGTTTCTAGGTCAGCTTCAAGTCAGAGGTAATACTTGAGTGTTAACATGATTCCATATCTTAAATTCAGGAGAAACAAGCTGTCAGCTTTTCAGTTGCAGGTTTTATCCCTTAAGTGAAATTAACTCAAAGCAAACATCCTTGTGAAGTGGTCTTGCCAAGGCATAATGAAGCATCAGAATAACACGTGCTGAAGCCAAGTTTTGCCTCATACAGGACTGGATTTCCAAGCCATGTGGGGAACACAGACAAATTTCAGACTTCTTTTCCTAACCTTGCCCTAGTTTGAATCAAAATTTCCAACTATGCATTTGTGAGCTGAAAGAAGAAAGGAAACATGAGGTATTTCCTGTCACATTTTTCTGTGAATTATCTGTAATCAGCTTCCAATTACCCCAAGTAACACTGCATAAGCAGCAGCAAGAAAAAGTCTTTTCCCATTCAGAGGTATAGCTTTCCAAACTGTAGTTATACCTCTACTTGGAGTGCAATGGAGGGGGAAGTTGGTGACCTGTTTTTTTATGTGTAAGAATTACCACATACAAACTGGATGACAAATAATGTGGTAGCTATGAGACATGAATGATCCACTAAAAAAATATGTCTGACTAATTTTCTGTACCATTCCGGTTTATTTTCAATTCTTCATATCCGCAGATTATAAAATGCAGTCGATAAGGATAAAGGCTAGAATAGCAGCAGCTTTACTGAAGCAATGAAAACTTTGGAATTTTTGTCTTATATCTCAAGTATTTCCTTTTTTGATTAAATTTAGCATGGAAAAACACATATATTCCAAGGATAGTGCACTTTTTAAAGTATATATTTCTCTATATAGCAGAAAAAGTAAAAGTAGCATAAGCTGTAGTCTACATACACACATAGGCACAGAGATGTGTGTATATTCCACTCTGTAGTTTATATGAGTGTACTGTAGGAAACACAACTGAAAATCACCAGTCACTTAAAATGTCATAGTCTGGAGTACGCCTGAGTTGTGCTGTCAGTATGGGAAATGAATTCAAATAATAGGTGCCATTACTGTAGCATGAAACTATTAGTTAAAGTTCACAGTGCTTGACTAGATCACTTAAACCTTTATTAGAAAAAAAATGAAATTTTGAATGTTCTTCTTTTCTTCCTTAATCTGAGCAGGGGCTCAAAGTTTAACCAAAAGCATCTGGAAATAAGTTCCAGTGCTGTGCTCCTGGTTCAAGTTCGAAAGAACAGAAGGCAAAACTCCCTGTGCATGGTGCTAACTAGTATCATGGGAGTGTCAAACTTGATTTGAGGTAGATTGACATGTCATTATTCCTCCCATTCTTGCTTCCCTTTTAATGATCTGCACCTGAGCTCTGGTGTGTATTTTGTGACACTTATTAGCAATCTACAGGTCTGAGAGAACTGTTGTTTAGCCATCTCTCACCTGTTAAAATGTTAACAAGACGAGACTTACCACTGTGTCTGGTGCCAACTGAAGGTCATGGATGGAGTGAAGAAGCCCCAGACATCTGTCTTTCACAGTGAGCTTTGTACTATGCTTCACTGAAAACAGTAGGCTGAGCGATTTCTCACCATTAATATCAATGGGACCTGAACGCATACTACCGGCATGCATTCCTCGGCTCCAGGAGTGGAAGTGTGGAGCTATTAACACACCTCATTCACATCTGAATTAAGAATGTTGAAACAGTTCTACATGGCAGATATACCAAAGAAGTCGTTAGGTTTATTCTTGTCCATATACACTGCAGTGCCTGATGGCAACTGCCCCTGCTATATAAATAAAGACTGAGAGACTCAAGGCTACTGATTTCCTGAGTATCAATCAACCTGGATTCATCTTTTCTTGTTTTTATTTTTCCTCTGTGAGGGTCTGCTTCACAACAATTAAAACAATGACTTTGATCTCCACCCTGCAATATTTTCAAAAGTCTAGTATTAATGGCATTTGCATTTTGAAAAATTGTCATACCTTTTCAATTAGAAGTTTTTTAGGGTGGAATGGATGCCTCACATGCAACACAGTTTTAAATCATAGAATCATAGAAAGGCTTGGGTTGGAAAGAGCTGTAAAGATCATCTAGTTCCAAACCCCCTGCCATGGGCAGCAATGCTGTTCATTAGACCAGGCTGCTCAGGGTCCCATCCAACCTGATCTTGAACGTTTCCAGGGATGGGGTATCCACAAGTTCTCTGGGCAACCTGTTCTACTGCATCACCACCCTCTGAGTAAAGAATTTCTTCCTAACATCAGTTCTAAACCTGCTCTCTTTCAGTTAAAAACCATTTACCCTTGTCCTGTCAGTATCTGTCTGTATAAAAAGTCCTTCTCCCTACTTTTTATAAGCCCCCATAAGGTGGTTGGAAAGCTGTGGTAAGGTCTCTGAAGCCTGATCTTTCCTGAGCTGCACAACTCCAGATCACTTAGCCTGTTTTCATAGGAGAGGTGCCCCATCCCTCAGATCATCTTTGTGGTCCTGTAATAACCTTTCCTCTCTCTCTTTGAGTCCATAAGTGAATGGCTGTGAGTGAAAATGTACAGTTATTTGTGAATATTCCTGTGCGTGTGAATTATCTGTGGAAAGATAAACCAAAACAGCTATTCAAATATCATATATGTGTACATTAGTGAATAGAAATTGGTTTCTTACTGACATACACATAAAAGAGATTTGCAGAGGTATGTACAAAAGTGATATCTCCTTTCCTTTTCTGTCTCTCTCTTACCCTGTCTCTTCTCTTTCATCATCTCCTTCCTCTTCTCCTCCTCTGCATTCTCTTGTCTCTTCCCCTGTTCACCCCCCTTCTTTAGCCCCTTCCCTCTCCCCTCCTCCACTGCCCCTCTAAATTTCAGTCTCCCTTCCCTCTTCCTGTGGACCTCTCTACTCTCCTTCTCTCTACTTTTCTTCCCTATTTTTCCCCCTTCTTTTTTTTATTTCCTCCTAGTAGCATTTTCTTTCTTTTGCAAATCATTCAGACACTTTAGCCAGTGCTTGGCAGTCACAGACCTTAATAACTTGTCGAAACCCCCTTCCATTTCTTGTGCAGCACATGAAATGATGCTGTTCAGCAGACAGACAGCAGAAACAAGGTGTTCAGTCCTTTCAATTTTTATTTATGGCAATGGGGAGCGTATTGCTGGAGGTACTAAGAACAGGTTTACTTTCTGAAGGAGTCAAATTTGTCTCAATTGCCTTGGGATGGAAAATGATCTATCCCAATAGCCAGTGGAAACAGCTTTCCTGATCTCCTGCTACTTTTTATTCTGAGTTATAAGTATCTTTTGTGAATGGTTAAACAACTTCACTCTTAATCTTATTAGTATAAGGCTCTCACACCAGACCCACTGAAAATGGCAGAAAGACATTCCCAAATTTGAGCAGACTTCAGTTCTGACTCTAACAAATATCCCACTGGCTTAACCTTTCAAAAGGCAGACAAATGAAAAATAACATTAAGCAGTTCTATCAGAAATAAATGCCAGTTGTTTTTGGAGGTCTTTTTCTCAGCCGTTCCTATTGATGTAGGCTATAGCAGGCTTTGGAATATGGCATACTTTAATCGGCTTGTTTCTTTTGAAGAAAGCTCCAAATCATTGTTTTGTTTTGTTTTTGGGGCTCAAGGGTATTTCAAATGAACTCCCAATGAATTGAAAGTTACAGTTGTACTCCTAAGTACAATAGTGGGCAATAAATAAGAAAGATTAAGTATTCTGTAGTCAGGTTAGAGTGGAACAACAACAAGAGACTGATGCATTCTTTCTAAACAAACAAAAAAGCATAATTGGAAAAATTCATTTTTATATTCTCTTACATTAGATGGGGCCACTGAGTGAAACATTCACTGATGAATTTCTTCTCTAATCTGTGGAGGAAAAACAGCTACTGGTGAATTAAAGAGTCCTGGAACAGAGCCATGAGAACTAAATGGCTAAAAATGAAAACAGGCAAACATTTGAAGAGTATTCTACAGAACACAGATCTTTCAACACTTCCCCCTTTTCCATGGCTAATTCATTGTCATGGAAACTGAATTTATCAAAATGTTCTTGTTCACTCCTAGTGACCCAGTGAGTCGACTTATGGAGCTGGTGAAAGGTAACTCAGGCTGAAGCAATTTTTACAAATGATATGCAGCAGTTCATAAATTGGTAAATTTTGAATGGCACCATTGTGCTTCTCAAGTAGTTTTCCCTAGTCTCAAAAGACTATTTCTGTCTGCAACCTAGAGGTGTCTGAAACGCTCACTAATAAGTTAGCATGAGAGGCATGTATGAGTATGGCTCTTTTCTTCCCTCTCAGCTCTCCTTTAATTTGTTTTTCTTCTTACCCTGTGAATTTATGCTAAAATCTTGTTATTTGTGTCATTCTTTACTTCATGCATTCTCCACAGCAATTTCCTTTGCTGATCTGTAGCCCAAGGATGCAAAAATCCTTCATCACCTCATCACAAACATCTCTTCTTATCTGTTACTGAAGGTAGGTGTTGACTATCAAGTGTTATGCACAATGACTGCTGTATGCAGCCAGCTTTGCCAAATCCAGAATAACCCTGGAACTCTGAGTGCTTCCACCATGTCTCAGGAGGTGAGGTTGCTTGTGTTTCTTCATCATACATGAAAATTGTCGTATAATTGTTTTGAAGGTTTTTCAGCTTCTATGTCACTGCCAAATTCTGTCAAGGTTGATTTTTACTTTATTTTCTGTTAGCAATTAGTGACTTGTTGTCATGGAAACTGCACTTCACATGATTCTTGAACTTAAATGGCTGAATGTGATCATACAGCAGCCCTTCATTCTTTAGCCTCAGTAGTTAAAGACTTGTTTTTGTGTGTGATCTTGATTACAGAATCACATAAAATATCTATAAACACAAAAAATAATAACAGAAGGCTACATAAATTAAAATGAAGTAGTCAATAATTCATTCTTTAATTAAAGCTCTTCCTTTTCCTATTGCTGTAACCTTTCAAGTGTCAAAGCAGATACGAGCTAATCATTTGTATGAAATATTTTTTCTAATTAGCAGTTTGTGAAACAAAAATGAAGGAAAACAAAAAATGGGGATTTAAAAACGAAAGTACTTTAGAGAAAATATTTTCTAGCGTATGAGTCTGTTTGAGTTTGTGGACAGCATTTAGGTACACAGAGAGGGATGCATTCACTTCTGCTTTTTTTTGCTATATGAAATGACTGGAAAAGGTAAATGATATGTCCCAATATAATTTCAATAACAGACACATTTGAATTTGTTCATCTGCTAAATATTTTGTATTTTCAAATCAAAGTCTTAAAACTTCAATTCAGAAGCTATATTTTTCAACAGTAATCACACTGAAAGAATAATGCATTGCATTTTTTCTTCTGACATCTCCACCATTTAGAAATATTCCAGAAATATTCCTGTATCATAAAGATCTCTTTTCACTGAAGATTTTTTAGATATATTGCTCTGACAGCAGTGGCCGAGTAAGCTGAATCAGAGCAACAGAAAGGCTTATATCAAGTCTCTTATTCTGAGGACGATCCAAATCCAGTTCTAAACTACCTGGAGATTTCTATTTGTATGTATACACACTTTATTCAGAAAAATTCTAAATGCAGAAGTTTTCCAGATATGACTACAATATTTCAAATTCACAGTTTGCACTTCTTTAATGTCATTGTCTAGACAAATAGTTCATCTGATTGCATGTTCATGTCTCTGTTTGATTCTTGAAAAATGTTGAATGGCTTGTAATCAATAAGAGTTCAAGGTACTTGAACGTCATAGGAAATTATAAGAATCAGACCTGGGCATGTGAAATTGTAAGTGTCACTCTAATGAATGCTAACCAGTAGAGATTGTGATTTTTGAAGATTTTTCTGGTGCTTGATATGCTAGAAGACTTGGTCTTGAAAGGACACTGCACTCTTATTAAACTTTTCAAATGTCTTTTTGTAAAACTAGAACTAAACTAAAGTATTGGGTAATGTAGCTATCAGAGACAAATGTAGTTTAAAGGCACTATAAGACAATTTCTTCCCTGTGGTAACCCAGCAGAATTCAGTGTTATTTTCTGCTGTCTCTCCTCCCATGTATTAGAGACTCATTACTTGGATTCACTAACTTTGCTATAAAGATAGCTGTTTGCTTTCAGTGATACAAAAGCAAATACAGTATGATTTTAGCATGTGCTTGCTGTGTTCAGATATTTCTTATAAAGAAGCAATTTTGAAGTATTTTAGTAGAAAAGTATTCACTTATTTATACAGTGTGCTAGATTCCCATTAAGCATTTAACTGGATAATACTTTTTTTGTAAAAAAGGGGAAAGAAAAAAGTAGGTAAAACTTCAATTTCTTATACTTGTGATAATATATATGTCTGCCAAAAGGTAACATAGATATGAAATTTAACATATTCACTGAATGGTTTTACTAACCTTCAAGAGAACAGGTATGTACTTCACCATGTGCTGTGTGTTTCTGTGCTCACTGAAGTCCTAGGAAATCAAAGCAATTATTCTGAAAACCATGCTGAAACCAGTGTGAGGCCAGAATTTGTCTCATATTTAGAATTTCATGTTATCACACTAAGTATGGTGTTCCTAGTGAATTGTGAATTTGGGTTTTAAGCTTTTTTTTAGCTGTTCCTCCTTGTTAATATGTCAGGTTACTTTTGGTTCCTATTTCTTTAGAATTACTTCTCCTAAAATTTCTTAACAGTACAGTCTATACTTTAAACTTCTAAAATCACAAAACTAGTATCAATAATTGTATTAGCCCTGTGGTAGCTACAACACATATAGATTCTTTCATTTCCAGTACATGTTGGTGTTCTTTCTATGGTTCTAAAGATTTGTGTTTAATTAACACTTATTACTAATTGTACCATGTAGTTGTTTTCACAAAAATGTGAAATTTTATCTTTTGTTTCATTAAAAATACAGGGAATAAAAACCATCAAATTACTTATTCAAGTTTATAATGGAGTGAAATATTTGACATTGCCCTTGTACAAGGTCAAATAGTTCTCCAGAACTATTGCTACTATTAGAGAAATTTTAAAGAAAGCGTTATGAAAATAAAAATCCAAAAGAGTGTTCTTCAATAGGCACAATCAGGAAAAAATTACTCCTTTGAATCAGATGTAAGTATAATTTCAAAATAAGAAGCTATAAACCAGCTGATTTTCTTAATTGTCTGGGATTCCTTTGGGGTATTATTTCAGTCTTGTAATCTGTTTAACTTTTTTGTACTTGGAAAGACAATAGAATATGACAGGTTCTTTGACAGTTTGCTAACACAAATTAACCTCATTTATGGGAAAACTGACTGTGTGTGAACACCTATTTTTGCAGTGCTTTGTAAGACAATCTCTAAATTGCTGACATGTTGGGAGGTCTGCTTCCTAAATTTTAGGCATTCTGCTGAATAATAACATGGATAATCTACCAAGAGTCTTATGATAGGCTTGAATATTGATGACTCTATAATATTTATAGGGGAAAAGAAAGAAAAAAAGGCATGCTTGCTATGTTCTTTCAAATTAATGAAAATTCTCTTCATTGCACCTGTAAAGCACTGCTGCTATGCACAGGATTTTACTGCGGTAACAGAGGTATATTTGATCACTGTTTATTCTTTAAAGAACCATGCAAAACAAGTTAAGAGCAAATATTTTCTGGTGAGAATTTATCACATAGAAATAATATTAGCCTAAGGGAAATGCATAGGATTATATTTGTTTCTATCTGGTCTGATAAATGAATAAATGATTGTCCCCTAGGAATAAGGAGACGAATACAGGAGAATCTGATGTCAATGTAATCCCCTTACGAAAGGTTGGAATCAAATTAACTATTAGACTTTTCTTATTTGGCTAAATTTCAATGTTTGTGGCTTGGAATTATTTTATAACTAGGTGAGAGGTATTAAATAAGTTAGGTGAGGATGATGAAGACTATCTATCAAATAAAATCAAACACTAGTGACCTTTAAAAATAAATTTGTACATGAAAGTGTTCAAGAGTCTTGCCTATCCACCTTCTAAAAGCATATATATTTCTCCATACAGTTTAAGATATACTGTTGAATAAATACATAGTTAAACAGCAGAAGAAACAATAAAAAAAATTATGTGAACCTCCATGTTTCCTCATCAATCTTTTTTTTGCATGTGTGTGTGTGTTTCTGTAACCTCTGGTGCTGAAGGAAGGACCAAGAAAGATTGATGGAGGGTGGTGGCAAATGCCATTTTATAGTCTCTTCTTTGCTATGAAAAAAACCTGCAACTTTAAAGACAAACATTGGCTCTATGGACTTTAACTAACTGCATAAATAGAAAGGCTGACTTCTTTAGAACTCTCAACCTGGACCAAAATTTTTCACTTTAGGCTACCTTTTCACAAAGTCTTTGCTGTCGGTTGTGTTTGTTCTGAATGACCTATATTTAAGGTGAGAAAACCTTTAATGTATAATCATATCATATTCTCTGTACATGCCACATAGGTGCATTTCAAAGCATTAAAGTATGTTTATGGATTATCTCTTGTACTGTTAATATAAAGTTAGATTCCCTGTTTACTGTAGGTCCAATTGTATGAAAGTTTCAAAGGGAGCCTTTGAAATCTCTAAATATAGCTTAAAAGAGTTTCTCTATATCTAAAATGTCATGACATTAACATCCAGTATCTTGGGATACTCCACAGTTAGAAACTGGGAAACTGATTCTTTCCAGTAGCATAGAGCTCTAATTTCTAGCCTTACGAGTATTCAGAGAAATGGACTTACCTTCTGACATTTTAGATATAAAAAAGGTTTTCTGAATCCAGCTTATTCTGTATATTAGGAAACCATATTTTCTGAAGAAAGATTCCTGGTTTAAAAAGAGTAAGAATTAATGACTCCCTGTTGCAATTTAAAATAGTGACAAGAAGTCCCTATTGGTTCTTTACAGGTATTCTGTAGTTATGATTTTCATAAGAGGCTGTCTAGGTCATAAAAACTATACTAGTTACTCACAAAGATATATAAATTATTAACAGAGCTGATTGCTAGCGAATCTTTGCTCGCAGCTTCTCAGAGAAAGTTTCGGTGGCGTGACCCCCCTTCACTAGGAGAAAAGAGCCACGAAGTTCCTTCTCTGGATTCCAGTGGCTAAAAGTGGTTTATTTGAAACTCCCAGGGGCTTTTAAGGTCTCTGGGGGAGGGCTTAGAAAGAGGAATACGACTGGGTAAAAGTCTGGGGTAAAGGGAGTGGCTTGAGGGCTCTGCTTACCAATGGAGGATACAGGAGGACCAAAGTCCAGTAACAAACCAGGGACTGGGGAGAAGAGGATGAGACAACCATCATGAGGGGAAAAACGTAAAATAAAAATGCAAATAGTTGGTGTTTTTCCACTCCGCTTGATCCTGGAGAGCTGCTGCTGCGATGGACCTGCTTCTAGAGTCGTTCTTTCAAGGATTCATAGTCTTTGCAATCCCCCACAAATTATCTTATAATCAACTTCATATTTATGAAAAGTAGACCTACTTATGTACTTCTGAGTCTAACTAGAGTTTGAAGATGCAGACATATATGCTTTTTATGAGTGAAGAAAGGAGATTTTATTTGTTGCTATTAAGAAGGAAGTTCAATTAAAGAGAATAATACAAATGTAGTGTGTGCTCAGCTTTTCTTTGACCCAGTGCTCATCAGTAGTGATTGTCTATTATGGTTTTTTCAGTAGTGAGACTGAATCTGTAATTAATTGCGGATATGAATATGAAAAGAAAGTTACTTCCTCAGTTCTCTCCAGTAAAGCATTTCATTGAGCTGGATGACGAATCAGTGTCTGAAGTTGTGTGTCACAGTCAGACTACTTTTCCATTTAGGGCCTGTTTCATGCTGACTGAAAAATGGTAGAGTGGTTCAGCTCCATTTGCTGAATAACCTGGAGGTCCTTAGGGGAAAGGAGGAAAAATCTCCTGTGTTTAAGAGAGTGTTGGTTTCAACCTGGATTCTTGGTATGCAAGTAGCCTATTTCTCTTTCTTGCAATACCTTGTGTTAAACCTGGCTTTGACTAGTGTGATGGGAATATCAGACATCTCTCCAGAGTAACATTTTGCAGTACAGTAGAAAAAAAAAAAGCAGTTATCTGTAAGTTTGCACAGAAAATTATATATACATTTCTGAGCTGGATCAATAATGCACCTTGATATTGTATATGCCAGGTTATAGAAGAGAACTCAAATTCGAGAATTTCAGAGTTGCCAAATGTATCACTATTATTCTGCCTGTGTACCTTTGAAAGGCCTTGTTTTTAAAATGTGAGTTTTCACAGCATGATGAAAATGATATCTGGGATGGTACAGAAAAAAATGGAGAGAACAAAATTCTTTAGTTTATGTTTGTGCAGTTCAAGATAACTTCAGGAACTTATCTACCAAACTGCACTTTAGTTTACACCAATTTTAATATTTCCTATGTAATGTCTACAAGAAATACATAGTATCTGTAGTATATAGGTATGTTAACAAATTGCACAGAAAAGTTGTAGAAATAGGCACATATATTGATTCCTTTAATGTACAACAGTTTTAAGAATTTCTATGTCATAGGTATAATTGATTATGTAGGAAAATAGGCCTAAATATGTGGTTTACATGATAGCTGACTTACTGATGGTCTAGTCAAATGATCAGCACTAGCAGTGATGACTCAGGAAAGGCCAACATAATCACTGCAGAAAAACTGGAATATTTAGAGCCTGAAAACTCAAGTAACATTTGACTTTAAGTAAGTAGCAAGTGCAAGATAGTGAAGGCACGCCTGGTTCAATATAACTCAGATTTCAGTTGAACTGTTATTTGCCTTTTACATTTTCTCTTCCTTCCTCTATTTTCTTATTTCATATTGTCTACTTTATAAATATGAGGTTTTAAACCAGTTATTCTTAGTCATCTAGCTGTCCAAGAAAACTCTTAGGGAGATAAGTAAGGATAAAATTGAATAAGTTTTTTTCTCCAGTTTTTTCTTCTCGCTGACAGATGCTGACCATGATCTGAAGTGAATTTTATCCCTAAAGTAGCTTTATAGGGAAATTCTGAAATAACCTTCATATATGAAGTTCACTGTTAACAATTATAAACTGTACTTTCACATTATCTGTCATGGCTTATACACAAAGAATCCCTGTTATTCTCTCTAGTTGGTTCAGAAACTGCGACGGTGCTGTAGCAGTGGTGATGTGCGTTTGCATGTAACTGGGGCATGGAAGTATCCTTCACTAATATTTTCTGTTCCTAGAAGGCCTTGCATAGAGAAAATATTGATCAAATGGTCTCCTACAGGGGTGCCATTGCTGCAGGCTGGTCATTTAGGGTGGCCAACCAAAAACAAAACTGAGGCAAATGAAATCAAAAAGAACAAAGAAGTAGCTAGAGGCAGAAAAAAATCTGTCAGTCCATTCTTTTGTTAAAGCTGTGCTTCAAGCATCAGTGTCTGCAAGAAGCTCCGAAGTAGCCCTAGGATGAAACTCTGTAATTGGAGGCAAGCAAGGCACAGATGCTAGCTTTTATTAAATATCAACAGAATTTAACAGTGCCAACAGCCCAGTGATGAAGGAGAAGGAAGGATGGGAAGGAAATTCCTTCTTTGGGCTAATTTCATGCTTACTGTCCTTCAGACCTACTCATCAGATCTGTCATCATGCTCTGTGTCTCTGACAAAGTCAGGCTATCTATAAATACCTCGATAGCTCTATGCACTTGAGTCATGTATGAATAACCTTTTGCTCATGAGATGATCTAGGCTATGCTGCCTGGCTCCAAGCTGTTGTTACTGAAGGGTACAAGTCCCTTTTGAGTCCTGTATAGTATCTATCAGCCTTACATATACATATTTACTTCCCTGGGGTATCTCAAAAATCATTAGACACTAATATTTAGGCAACTGTATCCTTCTCAAAATGGATTCCTTAAGTGGAAAGAGACATATATCAGGGATACTTATAACTGTGGATCAAAGTGTTCCTTTCTCATGCCTCCTCACATTGAAATGAAGGCAGCTTATAGAAAGACACAAAAACATGGAGTCAGACTTCTCTCCTCTCTAACGCCTTGTAGGTTTGCTTTTTATGAAAAGCAAGCAGTTATTTTAATTTAAAGAGGGACATTATTGGGTTCTGGTGATTTGCTTTGACATGGCCTCCTCCAGCTGCAGAATGGACTTGTTAAGGCTCTTATCCATTGGGCAGATTTACTGATGCTCTTGGACTTCTCTATATTCTACTCAGTGGGTACAAGTGAGGTTTAAGAATATCTTTAATCTGAGATCCAAACACCCTGTTCCTTCACTGCATTCACTGGAACAAACCAAAGTAATTTAGAATTATCAGTTAGGTTATCTCTCTCTTCAGATTATTTGAATAGCACTGTATGACCTTTGTATGAGGTCATACAGAAAGGAATTTTATATAAAATTGTTTTACTTTGTCTAATACAGAAAATTGCAATATTGAATTGTAAAGCCTTGATGGTTTTGACTTGTGAATGCACCCGCACAGGTTTTTTTTCTTCAGACTGACCGCGCACAAATTGCCTTTATGCTGAAGGATCCACCTCCCCAAAATGGCTACTCAAGAGTCATTACCAAAGGTAATTGTGAAGCTGAAAGGTGTTCAGTGCTAACAGCACACTCCCTCCCTCCTTTGCCTGCTCTCCAATCTCCCAAGCTGCCTACAGGAAATTCTAGCAATAGAGTGTGTCCCAGGAGAGTTGCTTTGCTTTGCAATGTTCATGCCAAAAGACAGCACTATTTTTGCCTGAAGTTCTCTTTTATGACATGTACAGATCAGCATAAAGTACTCTGCAAAATTAATTGAATTCTCCAATAATTGTTCTAAAGCCAAATACCATATAGAGCCCTAAGATATATATGCATTTTCAAATGTCTTTGTAGCCTGATTTGGGCCATTTACCTCATGAAATTTCAGCTAAAGGCTGAGTGCATTAATGAAACTGTGAGTCAATGTACATTTTTTTCTTTTCTGCTTTTCTTTTTTTGATGTGGATGCTTTTGTTTTCTGCTACACTGAACATGTTTCTTAGGCTTACTTGATTTGCCCACCTGTTGGTGACAATATGAGCAAGGATGGGCGAATAACATTGAATAGATAGGAAGAGAAAGAGAATTGTGTCAAAGAAGATTAGGGAGAAGTATACAGACACAGCAAATTCAGCCTGATGGTTGTAGGAGATTTAATAGAGCAAGGAAATAAAAGTTTAGATTTCTAAAGCTGTCTAAACTGGGGACAATATTCCCCTGCAGTGTACTGCACTGGATCCTGTTGCCCAGGTTCTCTTATTCCCCCACATAGAAGGGGTCTGCTGTCAAGGATGTTGTGTCAAAATTAAGGAATTAATTCACTGCACTACCAGGTAATATAAAAAATGGATATATCTCCTAGAACACACTGAAGGGTGAGACTGATCAAAACCAACTTGGATCAGTGAAGATACATTGAGGTAAACATTATTGACATATAGTATTGGCATTCAGAGGATTGCAAGGTGTTTAGTGCCTGTTGCCACAAAAAATCAAGAGATGCATTCTTTCAGAGATAAATTCTAACGTGGATCTGAGATGTTAAACAAGTGATTTGGGGGAGCTAGGGGGGAGGATAATTTGTGGATAGAAAGAATTTTAGTGTGGAGCAGTCCTTGTTATAGTTATATAAAACTCATTAAGGGCAGGAATTTGAATGTAAAGTACCAGAAGTTATGGACTAAATTTACATTAATAATAATGGAATCCAATGGGGAAGGATCAACAGATCAAAGCAGATCATGTTGGCATTTGTGTCTGCCATACATGAAGTCTGGAGTTTTAGCTTTGCACTGGGTTTAGCATGATTTCCTTGACTGAACATCTTTGCTCTGTGTGTGGCTCAAAGCAGTCAAAAGAACAAGTCAGTGTTTCATATCCTTTTGTCTGTCATGACATGAAGACACATTTGATGCATACATGAAGTCACACTTTGTGTTTAGATACCTGTTAAAGATATCAGGTTTGAGATGACTGAAACTACCCTGAGCTAAATCACATATTTTGCTTTAGAACAAAGCACTAGGTAAAATCATTGTTTAATATTTAATAAATTCATAAAAATTAATAAATCTGTTGTTGATAGCGATAGAGTAGATTCTTCATATATCACAAGGTGTGTGTAATATTATAACTCTGACTTCAAAGAATTTATTCCTAATTATACTTGAACAAATGAAAAGGCAGTCAAGTTCCATTTGAAGAGATTGTTCACCAGGGCTAAGACTTACACTATATATTCAAATTTCCCTTATGTGCCTATTCTACTCAAAACAAAGCAAGTATTATATAAATGCAAACATTTATAGAATCATAGAATGGTTTGGATTAGAAGGGACCTTAAAGATCATCTATTTCCAACTCCACTGCTGTAGGTAGGATGCCACACTGATACAAAAGTATTTTATAAATGTAAACTTTAATTTGGGTTATGTTAATTTTTTTTTTAATTTACCTATTTTAATCTACTTGTATATATGCATTTACACTTTCAACACATTCTTTTAAATTAGTAATTAATTAAATTATTCGTTTGAAACAAGGACTGTGCTATGTGCTGTTGTTAGTACTAGTCATAGATGTAACTGAAGAGTAAGTGGTAAGATTATACATTCATGCTTTTTATTTATTAATTTAGGAATTTTATTTTTCAATGCAGTATGTTTCTCACATATTTTGCATTCCAGATCTTCTTTTATTATGCCATTTCCCCCTTCTTTTCAAAGTACCACTAATTCACCCCAGTGCAGCAATAATCAGTAACTTGGAAGGAGTTTAGAAGGAGAGGGAAAAAGAGAGCTATTGAAGTAAATGAAGCATTACCCATGACTGCTGCATATACCAGTGTCTGTTCCTCCACTAGCATCATGTCCCCTCTTCTGATGATGATAACTCATTTCCCAGAGCATTCCATGCTCAAGGGCAATAGCTATCTTCACCACATAGAGAATTAGCACTGGCTGGCATAATTTTGGAAATACATAGCAATTACTTGTAGCAGAAACTCAGATCTCAGAATCCCTTAATGAAGAATGACAGAGCTGAGCTCAGAGACAGTGGCCCAGAGCTGCTAGGTTGCTGTTCTACACTGTTAGTTCACAGAATCCCCCTGCAGATCATCTTCCCCTTTCTTTTTCTGTCTTTCTTCCTCCTTTCCACCTGTCTTTGTGATCTCATCAACTTAGCATCTCAGTTGTATTACCCTTCTTATTCTTTGCATTGCTTTTCCTTACGATTACATTTGTCTCATTTTTTGCCCTAATTGTATCTAAAAAAAAGAAAATGTTTGAATGAACTACATTTTACAGTTGCCTTGCATAAACATGTACTCTGCTTTTCTTTGGAGTTACTAGGGAGTTGCCTTTGGTTTATTTCATAGAATCGTAATCATAGAATGGCCTGGGTTGGAAGGCACCTTAAAGATCATGTAGTTCCAACCTCCTTACTGTGGATAGGATCACCTTTCACTAGACCAGCTCACTCAGAGGTCCATATTTGACCCTCTATATTTCAAAATTAAAATTTATTTTACTTTGAAGGCCTTAAGAATGTATGAAAGCTATGTGTAGATGTAAACTCCTATAACTAACCACGTATTTATGCTGCTGGGGGTAGCATAATACATAGACATCCTTTGGGATTATGCCATTTGTGATAAACCAAATAAAAAAGATAAGGTTAAAGCTCACTTCTAAACATATGAACTCTCTAATGGCATTTATTTTCAGACTGAATCACAGAAAATCTTAAGACTAAGCCTGATGCCTGCCTCTTTGTGTAAGTTTCATTTTTACATGCTATTATGAAGATACCTTTAACTGAAAAAAATGCTTGAAGAAATGTCTGAGAAATACCATACATAAATAGCTACACTGTTTTCAATGGATGTTTGCTTGGGACTAGTGCTTTTCTTTCTAAAGGAATCTTGGAGACACTTGTGTTTGAAACACTTGTAATTAGAAATTATTTTATCATAAACATACCAGTGTCTCAGGCATAGAAATTTCATTCAGCTAGCGACACACTGCAGAATGGCTTGCACCTGGACTTCATGGGACTGGTCAGATCCCTCTGAATCTAGTGGTTCAGCTACTTTTCAGTCTACACTACTTTCCACTGATCAATACTTCCTCAGTTTGTCTATGAAGATATTATGGGAGACAGTCTTGAGAGCCTTACCAAAGTAGATATAAGCAACAGCCACTTGTCTCACTCCCGCCCAGCTGAACTAGTCTTTTTGTTGTGAAGGCTATCAGGTTGATCAGGCATGACTTCCCCTTTGTAAATCCATGCTGACCAGTCCAGTCACTTTCTTTCGTTTAACATGTTTCTAAAAGGTTTCCAGGGCTATTTGCTCCATTGCATTCTCCAAGGCTTAGGTGCAGCTGACTGAATTGTAGTTCTCTGGACCCTACTTGCCTTTTTTGAAGGCAGGGGTGACCTTTGCCTTCTTCAAGCCCCTAAGGAACCTCCACTGATCATCATGACCTTTCGAAAGTAATTGAGATTGTCATCATGATGACATCAGACAGTTTCCTCAGAATTTGTAGTAGGTGCATCCTACAAAGGCAAAGACCTCAGTGACTGGAGAAAAGGAAATATCACACCTATTTTTAAAAAGGGTTAAAAGGACACTGGGAATTACTGGCCTCTCAACTTCACCTCAATATCTACTAAGATAATGGAAGACAATTTCCTGGAAGTTATAATTTCCAAAGCATGGAAGTTATGTCAAAATAAGGAAGACAAGGAGGTCATTAGAAACAGCCAGTTTGGATTCACCAAGGGCAAATTGCGCCTCACAGATATAATGGCCTTCTACGATGGAGTAACTGCATCTGTAGACAAGGGAAGTCATCTATAGATGTCATTTATCTAGACTTTTGTAAGGCCTTTGATATGGTCTCCCACAATATTCTTGCCACTAAACTGAAGATAAGGATCAACTGTCATATGCATAAGGAATTGCATGGATGCTCATATGCAAAGAATTAAAATCATGGGTTCAATGTCCAGGTGGAACCCAGAAATTAATGGAGTCCCTCAAGGGTTTGTACTGGGACAAATGAAGTACAATATCTTCATCAATGCAGTCACACACTGCAGTTGAGTGCACCCTCAACAAGTTTACAGATGACACTCAGCTGAGTGGTGCAGTTCATACATAAGGAACGCCATCCAGAGGTACCTTGACATTATTGAGGACTGGGTCCATGTGAACCTTGTGAAGCTCAACAAGGCCAAGTGAAGGGTCCTGCATCTGGGTCAGGGCAATCCCTAGTACCAGCACGAACTGAGGATGGATGGATTGAGAGAAGTCCTGAGGATAAGGATTGGTGAAAAAAAAATTGGTTTGAGCTGACAATGTTTGTTCGCATCCCAGAAAGCTAACCGTATCCTGGGCTGCATCAAAAGAAATGTGGCCAGTAGGTTGAGGGAGGTGATTTTCCTCCTCTGTTCTGCTCTTGTGAGATCCCACCTGGAGTACTGCATCCAGCTCTGGAGTCCTCAGCAGAGGAAAAACACTCTTAGAGTGTTATGAAGATCATGT